ATAGACGTTTAGGCTATGTTTGGTTTAAAGGAAAAAGTAGGGAAATGAAGGGAAAGGTAGGGTAACTTTTACAAACCTTGTATGGGTTTTCCTACTTTTTCCTTCAAACCAAACACAGCCTTAGCCTTAGGCCCAGGTAAAGTTAGTTCTTTTTTTCTTTTTTTTTTGTATCATTAGATGAATAAGTAACTTTCCCACTTTAGAAAAAAATTTATAAAATATAGCGAGACAATTTTCTCATTTTAACATTGACTTTTTAAGAGTAAAAAGGTCATTATATTATTTACCTGAAAAAAATATATATAAATATGGGTAAATGAACTTATCCAGATATCCAGGTGGACAAACATAAGGACAATGGAAAAATGGATGCTCCAGTTTCTTAGGTGATTGATTCATTACAAAGCGCACACAATGGGTTCAGTGGATACTCAATGCTTAATGATATTGACTCTTGTGGGCAAGAAGGCATATATACAGCTCTCCAACAGATATAGCTTGATGTTGAGGGAGGGACTTGGGGCCGGGGGTGGCCTTGTTCCTCTATAGTGTCTTCCATGTCAGGTTGCTTGAAATGCAGTTTGGATTAGATGGGCCTGGGTCGGTATTTGATAGAACCTTCAAAACTGAGCTGGTGGTGAATCTTCTATGTGGTTAGCCCTGTTCATGGGCAAGTTCAGGTTTGACTTTTGCCAAATTTTGAATGAGTCCAATCCGAAACAGTATAAACTTGGGCCTGAAACCCAGCCCATGAAGAAGTCTACTTGCGGTGTTCTGAGCCAAAAGAAACCTGTCAATCACTAGCTTCCGCCCCACATGCTGGAGAGGCTCAATTCAATATCCATTGTTTGTTAGGCCTTCCCATCACAAAAAAATGATGAGTATATCATCCCACCAGTTGATGCGCCTATGGTTAATAAAATGAGTTTAGATATGCTACCAATAAAGCACTCCCATCACTGTCCCAATAGGCCATTGCATTGTTGAGAGATGTTTTGGATGTGCAACTGTAATAATTTATTGGGATAGTGTTGCATGTTGGGAGTGTTTTAATGGTTCTCAGGGTTCGGTTAAGTGAACCGTGGCCTGAGTTCTTCTTTGAAGCCGAACTGGTATCATCTATTTTTTAAATTTCCCAACTGTCAATTGGTTAATTGATTGACCGGTTTCAGATAACCATTGTTTTTTTTTTCTAAATTAACTGAAATTGATTGCATGATTCAGTTAACTGGATTTTTTTTAATCCAATTTTTCTGCTTTTCGGTTTTTATGAACACCCTTACCAATAAATTGAGAAACAAGACATTAGATATTCCTTTGGTGGAGTACTGGTTGGTTTACAAGCCTGTCCTTCGAATTTGATTTGATAATAAATGTTTCCATTTCCAATTTTCATTATCTCCATACACAAAAAAAAAGAGGAAAAAGTAAAATAATTCATAGAATTATCAAAAAATAAACTCAAAATTCACGTTCTGGGTTGTGAATGATAACCCTTTTTTTATTATATTAAATTCACATCTATATACTAAAGCAGAAGTGCCAGTAGGTGGCTTGAGTTTTTTCCATTACCCCAACAGAGAACTCTCAACCCCTCTCATTTTTGTCTTCTTGCTTACTCGTAAAAGTACATCGTCACTCCCTTCTCTCTCTCTTATTTGTGCACCTCAGTATGCCTGGCCCACTCACTTTGCATTTCCTAAATCCTAACCGTGAGAATAATCGTGACAGGGTAGGAAAACAGGGCCAACATACCTATGTTTTCTATCCTTCTTCAAGTTAATCCATTCACTACTCTTCGATACGAATTTTTTTACAGTTGTTTTCCCCACAGCTTTTTCAAACTTTTTCAAATGACATTCAAGTTTTTCTCAGTCGTTCTGGACGAACTTCAAGCTTTTCTCAGTCGTTTTGGAGGAAGCAGGGGAGGGTCAGTCGTTTAAACATCTTTTAGGTACCGAAGTTTCTTTGGATTTCTTTGAAATTAATGCTTCTTTGTATTTATTTGAATCTCCTACGACCGTCGGTTGGGCTCGAAGTTGTTGGATCTTTTTTTTTTATGCGTTTTTGGGTCTGCTACATTATTAAATCATTTTACTTTATGATGTTCGTTTGGACCTTAGAGACCCCTACCTATTTTTGTTAAAACATACTCAAACTGGAGAATGAGTTATTGTTCGCTCTTGAGCAAACACTATAGATTGAAATTGGGCGAAGAAGACAGTGTTTCACAATGGGGGCGGGTTGGGTTTGCATAGTTCAACCCTGTCCAAGTGTCCATTTAACTAATCTGACCTGGAAATTTAAGTTAAATAGACCGGCTTCTAATTGGATATGAGCGTCAACCGACCCATATTTGGTCCATTCCCGATTCGACAATTAATTAATTCTAATAATTAGTTTTTTATCTTCTGTTTTTGGATGTCAAAACAGGGGCTCCGCCCCCTTCTTTTTCTGAATATAAGATAGAATTTTCATCTTCAACATAGGGGAAGAGCAACCATCTTCAAGATGTACAAGTCCTTACTAACACACCTACACAACATTTTCATTAAGAACTTAGTTTTTCTCTTCTTTTTTTTTTTTTTACGTCAAAACAGGGACTCTGTCCCATCTCTTTCTGGGCGGATCAATCACCCTCATCTTCCTGCAACCATCGATTGAAGCTGATTCATTAGGCATTCAAACTATGGGCTATCATATTTGGCAAACCTTGAAATTAAACTCATTGAGCACTAGCCAGTAGCCAGTAGGGGATGCTTAACAAAATTTCTCTAACAAAGATTGAATAACCACTATAGTATCGTCTTGACGTCCTCCATTAAAACTGAGCAAACACCCAGCTCCTTGATGAAATTTAGACATTCCATCGTAGCCCATTCTTCAGATTACACTACTGAAATAGGTGGGGTGGGAGTTGTATAACACATCCATATACATCTTATCAAAGTGTAACTGTCTATAGGCAGGTGGGAGCTTTATGGATTTTTGTTGCTTTAGCCATTTAATTAGCGTAAGCTTCATAGACATTCCATCAAAACGTAATTGTAAGTAGCACTTGGGAGGGGATGGGAGGGGAGGGTATTGTAATCACCAATAATTCGTTAGTCTGAATTGGGACGGAAACAAATCTCAGTTCCTCACCCAGGCCCGCTACTAGTCGTTCTATCGAATGATACTGTAGTGAGGCTCAGGTTAAGAAGATGGGTTTAATGGATCGGATTATGGATAGTCTGATCCGAGTGTGACCCTCCAACCATTTTAGTTTTGGTCCGTGTTTGGTAATTGTTACATTAATCGGTTTAGTCCAGCCGGATTAATTATACAATTTACTGATTGATTAGTTATGGATATTTTAATAAATAATAATAATAATCACTAATTATTATAATTAATTATGAATAATAAATAATTATTAACAAGTGTGGTTAGACCAAGCCGGTTTAATTTTTAATTTACTTCAGTAATTATTAAACTATTATTAATTATTATAATAATTGTAATTAATGAACTATTAATAAGCTACTGTTTTTAAAGGTTCAATGATTATATAGTCTGAATTAAAGGTTATTAGACCAAAGTCAACTATATTTTACAAAATAATGGGTTAAGTGGTAATTAAACCAAAAAATATGACCAATTTTTTATTGAAAGAGTTAGCTCAACGATTTTTTAGAACTTTTACTACAGGGGTCAAAATATAATTAAACCAAAAAAATCAACTATATCTTACAAAATAATGGACTAAGTGGTATTAAACAAAAAAATATGACAAAATTTTCATTGAAAGGGCTAGCTCAGTGAGACAGTGATCTTTGAGATTTTTTTTTTTTTTTTTTTTTTTTTATGGGGGTCAAAACTTTATTAAATAGATGGGAATTAGGAATATTGTCATAAGACTCCTTTTACTATAAATATACTTGACAAAGATTGTACATCGCAGAGGTTCCGACCAGTAAAAACTAAATGTTAATAAGCAAAGCAAACTTCTTTTGCTAGATTATCAAGTAGGTTATGAGCCGAAGTTGGATGTATGAAAGTTTTGCCTGAGGGGCCTTCTACAAAAATTATTTATTTAACTAACTTACTATAAGTTAATTAATAGCTTAATTAATTTACTAACTTAATAACTTAAAATTAATTTAAACTTATTTTTATTAATTTAAAAATAATAAAAACACACATAATTAATGAAAATTAATTTATCTCAAAGTCCATCTAAAAATAATAAACCGTATTATTAGTAAAATTTAAACTTCATTTGTATTTTATTTAAAATAATATAAATATAAAAAATTAATAAGAGTTTATTGTTTTTAAAATACATTTGTATACAGCTTAAAATAATAAAATTTTATTAATATTAAAATCACTTTTAATTTAAAATCCATCTAAAAACAATACAAATTTATTTACAATACATAATCGAAAAATAATACTTAGTTGAACTTGGACCAACTCTCCACAAATGGATTTGTTTTAGATATTCTTCTTCTTTAATTTCACTTAACAAATCTCATGCATCTCAAACAATAATTAATAAAAAAAAACTATCAATAAAGACTAAACTTCATTTAAATTTGATATAAAAATTATAAAAAGTAGTAAATATTAATACTAATTTATCTACCAAGGAAAATGATTAAAAATAATGAAAATTAAGACAAATTTATTAGACACCATAAACCAAAAATTAATGCTTGGATGTACTTGGCTTAGGCCAATTAAGAATGTTAGAAGACATCTTATGCCATAATTTTGCTTAACAAAGCCCATGCATCCCATGGGTCATGACTAGTTCTTAGTTCATACAAAAAAAGAGTAATTTAATATGGGTGCTATTCTTTTTTATTTTTGAAAACTTATAGATTTGGATATATTTTATTTCATGTTTTTTTATATATTTTGATTATTTGAATACCAATATATATATATTCAGTTTTTTTTTTTCTGGTAGAAATATATTTTCAATTTTTGTTCATCTATATACTAATCGACGAGCTGACTCGGCCAGATCACCAACTCGAGTTGGTCGAGTTTCCGGCTTATAGATCACTGATAACGGAGATCTCCCGTCCTAAGTCCGAGCCCTTAGTCTAGCATCCGTAGATTCTATACTCTAGATTCGAGTTTCATTTGCATGTTGTTGCGGTTGCTGAGTACACGTTATTGCTGGTGTCTTGGAGAGCGGAGACGCGGGGAAACAATCCAACTGCGAAAACTACTTCCGGCGAAACATATCTCCATTCAGATGGCAGGCAGTGTTTCATTTCTGACCTAGCCATTTATTCTTTTCTTCTCTTTAATTTATAGATCTAAATGATTACACAGTTTTAAAGGTTAAGAGCAAATCGAATTAATCAGTGATTGTGATGAACAGGGCGAAGAAACGAAGAAATCGAGAAGAGAGGTAGGGCAGCTGTGGTGGTTCTTGGCGATATCGGTCGAAGTCCCCGAATGCAGTACCATGCTCTTTCCCTTGCTCGTCAGGTCATTCCCTACGTCTTTTTTGTTTTTGTATTTATCTAATCCCTAACCAAAAATTACGATTCAATTTCCGTTTTACTGTTAATTACCAAAACTACATAAACTCTTCACTGTACAAAATACTGCAACTATACATATAACCTTGCATGGAAACATACATTTTTGCTTTTTGATGATCGCCAATATCTATCCTCTGTGACTCTTTGTAGGGCCATAATATATTTTTTGCTGCTAACTCATGAAGCTTACATGCAGCTACTGCCTTCATTTTGTAAATGATATCGCACCCTAAAATCCACTTTAGCTTGATGTTCTCTAACTCTCTGCTTCGTATGATTGCGGGCTGCTTTCCGACCCTGAAGAAATGATAAATTTCAGCATGAACAGAATATCCTGTACCTTTGAGTCCTCAATAGATCTGAAATGGAGTTACTTCAGGCCTCATCTCTTCTAAATGCACTTTCAGCTACCATAGGCCTTAAATTCGCCATAGAACAGCCGTTAATTTCAGTTTAATGGAATGCTGGGTAGGAGGAGACTAATGTTGATGGGAATATTTTTTTTCCTGGTCAATGAAGAAGCAATTTAAGGCCACTCTCTCAAATGTTATTTGTACCAAAAAAATCTAAAATCCTCCCTTGTACAAAGCCAATGAGCCACCGCCATGGCTATCAGGTTGGTCGGTGTTTCTACATTGTTGTTCTTGTTTAAGAACACTCTGGCATTTCTTCCTTGAGAAATCTGCACGTGATCTTCCTTCTTTTGGCCCAAGGAAGGACATGAAAGAAATGATCTCAAAAACCAGGGACAAAGGGATTGATGTTGTATGGTTCAGCGGTTCAACATTCCAGTCTGGCCTATCTGAAACCATGAATAAAAACTGCTTTAAAATACAAAAATAAATTAGAAATGCATAAATAATTTGTTAGATCAACAGAAATACTTAAATAAATTTAAAAATAAACAAACATTCAGATAAACATTCCAAGTTGTTTGTGTATAAGAAGTGAAGAGGTTTGATTTTGACTGGGAAACTATTAGGGTTTTGTACTTGACCATTTTGGGAAATGGGAACTGTTTGATTCTCTGAATTGTTCAACCATGAATATTGGTCCATTTTTCAAAGCATCGGTTTTGATAGCTTATGGCACATGAATGCATGTATTCGTCTTGTATCAACTATATGGGATTGGCCACATGAATCTTGTTCTGCCATTCCATTCTATTCAGTACCATATACACTGTTAAACCATCAGCCCTTAAATCGTTTCTCACTACTTCAATCCATGTCCCTTTTGGTCTGCCCCTAGCTAGCCTCTTCAATTTGTAACAGATCATTTCGTCTTACTGGTGCTATTACTTAATTGTCTTTTACCATTCTTTAGATTTTGTGCATCATTACCTTTCACATCATCATCATTAAGTAGTTGATGTTCTCATGATTTAAGATGTGCATTGATCCTGCAGGCATCTTTGGAGGTGGACATTGTTGCATATGGGGGTAAGCATGGACAACATATGAGCTACATATGATCATTCAATTACATATTATGTTTCATTTGACTTCGTGGATGTTTCATGGTATTCATGCCTTGTGTGTCATGGTGAAGGTTTTTTTCTTGGTTGTGCAGCAATTATCCAGACTTTTTTTTTCTTGATGAATTAGAATTTAGAAGTATACTGGATGCTTCCAAAATACTCTTGACATATCTATGCATTTTTTATCAGTTATTGGCTTAGTAGTTTATTATGATTCTCAAGTTGAATCATCACCTTGAGGGGTTGATGTCTTAGTATAAGCCATTTAGTCTACTGTTTCCCTGATGGGGTTAGGCCAGGGGTGCAACTTGTGCAGCTGGACTGGGTTTAGGGCCAGAGCCCAGGCCCTAGGCACTAGCTAATACTGGAAGCTTTTAAGATGCCTCTTATTGATTGCTTCACAAGAAAAAAGGGGAGAAGTTCTTATTTGTGACAGTTTTGCTTTTGATAAGAAAAACAGAAGTTTGGCGTTGTCCTGGGCTGGGAGTTAATTTGTAATCTGTCCTGCTTTTCTGTTCTTCTATTCTTTATTAGTTTGGTGTTGCTGGGGCAACGTGGGGGTGGAATTTGCACTCTTTATTTGCTTTTGGTTAATGAATTTCTGTTATTTATCAAAAAAAAAAAACAGAGGTTCTGTCTCCAGCCCCTGCCTAATAAGTCTTGGGATTTTCTTTCATTTTCTATGTTTTTCTTCATCATATTCTCTTCCTTCTGTTTTTTATTTTGGATTTTTGCATTACTACCTTTTCACTTTTGATCATTAATAAAGTTCACTTTCTTATTAAAAAATAAAGAGAAAAATAAAAATAATAAAGCTATTATAAGATGTTAACTATAATAAGAATATAAGACCAAAGCTTAAAAAGGCAGTTAGCCAATGCTGGTTCTAGCAATTTGGGGTCTTTGAAGGAGTGGGGATGGTACCAACCTAACCTGGAATTTTTATGCATGAAGTGTTTGCTCTTTTACACCTGTATTCTCATGCTTTTCAGCGCATGATTTTACCATTGTACCATGGAATGACCCCCTTAATAAGACCGTGTTTAATGGAACAAAATACTGGAATAAAACTAAAGTTAGGATGTTGAGGTTGATGAATGGAAAGATTAAGTAGGAAAAAAATAAGATCAAGGACATCCAAGGTCCCCCCCTCCCCGCCCAAGAAGTACAGAGGATTAATTAATGACCCAAAAGGACATGGATTTTGATAGTAAGACAGATTATATATTGATAAGACACTTTACTGAAAATAGGATATGAAGAAAGGTCAGAGTGTTAGATATTTTCACTATGGCCTTCTTTTGATGGGAGGTCCTGGGATTTGGAGAGAAAGGAATAGAAAAATATTTTTATGTGGAGGCTGAGCAGCCTAGGAGGTTATGTTCAGGTATTGGATCTCTTGTTTTGGTTTGGGTTTTAGTGCTGCTAGACGCCAGGTTTTGAAAATGTTGATGGAGCATCCTTTGGTATAACTTTTCGACTGCCTTGGACATTATTGAAGATGATATATATAATCTGGCCCCGAGTACATCGTCTTCAATAAGGTGTGTGATGTGATGTGTTAAGTTGCCTTGGGCCCCGAGTACTGTGTTAAGCTGCATTGAGAAACTAAGGAGAGACTTGCTTTGGGATGACATAGAAGATCATAAAAAGCTACATTTTGTGGCTTGGTCAGAGGTGTGTAAACCAAAACAGCAAGGGGACTTGGGCATAAAGCTTCTCAAACAAGTGAATAGTGCTTTACTTGCCAAGTGGCTGTGGAGATTTGCTATGGAGGGTGATGTGTTTTGGAAAAATGTAATTGAAACAAGTGTGGGGAAGCTAGTTTCAGATGGGAATCTGGCCCAGCTTCAGAAGCATATGGAACTGGCTTGTGGAAGGACATATAACAAATCTGGGAAGTGTTTTTCAACTGTATCTCTTTCAAGCCTGGTTCAGGGGAAAGAATTTTGTTTTGGAAAGATAGGTGGTGTGGTACCAACCCCCATTGCTTGGACTTCCCATCAATTTTTGCTTTGGCTCAGGATAAGGATGCTTGGGTTTGTGGTTGCTTGGAGGTTATCTACAACCAAGTAGTGTGGGTCCTGAGGCTAAGAAGAGAGGTAAATGATTGGGATCTGGATTCATGGGCTGCTTTGTTACAAAGTTTGGAACAAATCCAGCTTCAGCAGACAGAGAGGGACAGGATTTGATGGAACAAAGGGAATTTTGGCCTCTTTACAGTGAGTTCTATGTTGCAGTTTTTGTTAAACTCAGATGGGACGTCACCCCCTTGGGTTTGGTCATGGAAGCTTAGGATTCCTCTAATGGTTCAATTCTTTATTTGGGCTGCTACAAAGGGTAAAATCCCTACTTTTGATGTGTTGAAGAAAAAAGGAATGGTCCTTGTCAATTATTTGTTGTTTGTGTGGGGAGGATGAAGGATCTGTTCAGAATCTCCCATTTCTATGTAGTTTCTCTCACAAGGTGTGGTCCCATGTTTTAAATCTTTTCGGCATGAATTGGGTGACACATCCAAATCTTGCATTCCTTCTGTCCTCTTGGCAGGGGCAGGCATTCTCCAAGGGGGTAAGGTCCTGTGGAATGTCTCTCCTTTGGTAGTTTGCTGGTGCATTTGGAAGGAGCGGAGCAATCACTTGTTTGAAGATCAAGTTGCTCCATCAAAGAAAGTGTGCATGAGTGTGGAAAAAATTCTGATCAAATAGGCGTCCATTGGTGATCTCTTCAGGGGCTTTCATTTTAAGCATTTCGTAGATCAGTGGGGTGCTTTTTTGTGGGAAAATGATTTCACTGTGTAATGTTTAGCCTGTTGGCTCTTTTCCCCTTGTAGCTGGTTGTTGAGGAAATCTCTCCCTCAGCATTCTTGTTTTATCCTTTTTCTTTATTGAAATAGTTACCACTTCTGAAAAAAAGATTCCAAATGGATGTTTGATGTGTAAATCTTCTCAGAAATCTGCATATCATCTTTTTCTAATTGCTCCAGAGCATCAGACAAGTAAATATGTTTTTTGGGTTTAATTCTTGAACTGTTTTATTCCTTGGTTAGTACTTAGTACTTGCCTTCTCTATGTGCCATTGATATCTGTGGGCTGTAGGGGCTTTGTTCTCTGGATCTGGAATATGGTTCCTTTGGTGATCTATTGAAGCTTGGTGTGCATGAAAGGGAAGAAACATAAATCTTCTAAAGGAAAAGAGAGGCCCTTTTTGTGTATCTTTGCAGATGCTAGTTGTTATCTTTTTTTTTTGAGAGAAAGGTAACTGATTTCATTAAGAAAAGAAAAGGGTACACAAGAAGGTGTACAAATATAAAGAAAAAAAAAACAAAAAGCAGGGATCAGATCCTTAGGAATTATACAGGAGGAAACATATCAGAGTACAAATCTTCTAACAGAGCACCTAATTTTGCTAGTCCATCTGCAAGAGCATTAAATTCCCTTGGAATCCAAATCAGGTTTGCATTAGAAGCAGTCAGTAAATCCCTTGCCTTCGTCAGAAAGTGACTGAGTCTCCACGGCCCGGTCTCTTGTTTTCCTAACCATTTTATAGTGTTTGCTGAATTGCCTTCAATGGAGAGGTTCTGAATACGTAGTCTGTTAATTATTCTGATCCCTATAAGTGCAGCTAACACTTCTGACTTGGTAGAATCTGCTATGCCTAGTGGCCAACTATACACCCAGCAGATATTCCCATTTTCATCCCTTAGAACTCCTCCTATGCCAGCAGCACTAGGGTTGCCTGAAGCACTTCCATCAAGTATTCCTGTTGAGGTGGCTGGGGAGGGAGGGGAGGAGAACAGGAAATTACCAGTATTCCTGTTGAGGTCATTTTTTTTGTCAATAACACAATTCATTAATTATCACAATAAAAATTACAAAGAGGAAGACAAACTTTCTTATCTTCCAAATTCAGCTTGAGCCCCAAGAAAGGAAACAAGAGAGAAAGAGAAAAATGTAAAAAGAAAAAAGAAATTTAAATTACATCTGTGCCCAGAACATTGAAACCCTGTCCACCCCTTGTTTAGCTAACCCATCAACAAAAGAATTAGCTGATCTTTTTACCCAACTGATTTTAACTTCCATTTCTCGAACCAGCCATCTGAATTTCCTCCTCATATTGCTATAACTCCATAAACTACTATAATCTTTATTCAGCCACCCTACCACCACCTTCGAGTCCCCTTCAATTATGAGTTTTCTGATATTCATCTCCCTAGCTTTCTGGACTCCTTCCATAACTGCGTGGATCTCAGCTCTAAGAGAGTCACCCACTCCAATTGGGCCTGAGAACATGGCAGAAACAACCCCATTCTCATCCCTGAAAACACCCCCAATCCCTGATTGTCTAGGGTTCCCTTTGCTACTTCCATCAAAGTTTAGTTTTATGAAACCCGCATGTGGGGGAGTCCAAGACACACTCATTATTGCTTTAGTCTGGGTACAGCTAGCAATCTCACCCCACTTCCTCAGCATGTCATACACTGTATAATCTGTGAATAGCTCTAGGGATTTCATCCACTGTACAACCCTTATATGGATCAGAGCCCTCAGATATTAACACTTCTCTCTTCTTCAGAGAAGATCCTGGAGTTTCTTTCTTCCCATAGAGACCAGTACACCGTTGCCCTCAGTCCTCTCCACATAGTCCTTCCCCTTTTCATACGCCACTTGAAAAAAGGAGTAAAAAGACTTTGCAAATTTGATGGAGGATTCCAAGTACACCCAAACAAAGAGAAAGCCCATTCCCAAATAGATTTTGCAAATTGGCAAGACACTAGTAGATAAAAACCAGTCTCCCCATCGGCTTTACAAAGAATACACCAATGAGGGGACAAACAAGTATTAGGTCTCTTTTTTTGGAGCAGATCACTAGTGTTGATTCTTTCCAGAAAGGCTTCCCAGCAAAAACTACCAACCCTAGGAGGAATTGGCCTGCACCAAACCTCATTAACAGGGAAGGGGGGGGGGTCACAGGATTGGTGGACTGGTTTAACACTTTAAAGGAGGCACAGGAGAAGGAACCAGTAGGGGTGGGAATCTAGATTCTAGAGTCTTCCTTAGCAGGGTCTAAGAAAACATCATCAAGAAGTTGGAGGAGACTTGAAATACTGTCAAGGTTTGAGTCTCTTACAACCCTTCTCAGACCCAAATTCCAACCAAACCCAGAATTGGAAGAGGAAGGGGTAATGAAAGAGGAAACTTGCTCATTTTTCAAAACAGATAGGGCATACAAAGAAGGAAATTGGTCCTTTAGAGGGGCATTCCCCACCCAAGTTTGTTCGGAGTTGCTTGAATTCAAATCATACCTGATAAAAGGGGAAAAACTGGTAATAGATCATGAATGGCTTTCTAAGGCGAAGTGCTTGTGGTCCTAGCCCGGATTCCAACATCCCATCCATTTAGCTCCAACCCATGTATGCTTACCACTATTTTAGCCCATAATTTCTCATTCTCTAGTGGGAATCTCCACAACCATTTCCCCATAAGGGCCAAGTTCCTTTCTCAAATGTTCCCAAGCCCTAACCCACCACCATTTTTACTCCCAGTCACCACCTTCTAGCCTACCCTATGGTCCCTCTTCTCCTCTCTCGACTCCCAAAGGAAATCTCTCATCATCTCTTCCAATCTGTTAGCAATCTTTATTGGGATTTTGAACATTGAAAGGAAATAAATGGGTAAATTTGCTAGAGTAGCCTTAATCAATGTCATCCTACCTCCAAGAGAGAGGTAATTCTTTTTCCAAGAAACAAGTCTCTTCTCAAATCTTTCCACCACCGGATTCCAGAAACTCTCCCTCTTTGGATTGTCACCTAATGGCAACCCCAAGTAGTTCAATGGCCATCCTGAGACCTCACACCCTAGCACTTCTGCACTCTCCCTAATTTCTCCCTCCTCCAAATTCAGACCCACTACACAACTTTTCTCAAAGTTCACCTTCAATCTTGACATTCGTTCAAAAAGTAGTATCACTAATTTTTCCTTTTCTTGAGGTCCTTTGTTGCTCTTGGAAGATAAGTGTGTTTGTCTTCCTCTTGTAAATCTTCTATTGATGATTTAATGAAAGTGTTATTGATAAAAAAAAAAAAAATTCATGTTCCTATTATATTCCAAGCTTCCTCATTCACAAAACAGAATTGTGTCATCTACAAACTGTAGATGGGTGAGGAGGATTTCCTCCCTTCCAACTCTCCATCCTCTAATGAGACCCCTAGAGTTTGCTCTATGAATTAATCTCCCCCGAACATCAGCAATTAGTGTGAACAAGAAGGGAGATAGGGGGTCCCCTTGCCATATACCCGTAATGGCTGGAAAGAAATCTACCACTGTCCCATTCACTAGTATAGAATAATGACAATTCTGAACACACCCTATAATCCATTTGCACCATCTAGCCCCAAAATCCAAATTTGGTCATAACTCTCCTTAAGAAATCCCAATCTACCAAATCATATGCCTTTTCCAGATCCAACTTACATACCACTCCCTTCTTTCCGTCATTCTTGACATTTTCAACACTCTCATTCGCAATTAGGATTTGATCTATAATTTGTCTTCCACTCACAAAGGCTCCTTGGTTTGGTGTAATGGTATCTAGCAATACTTCCTTCAATCTCAGAGACAAAACTTTTGCAAGGATCTTATACAAGCTATTTACCAAACTGATTGTCCTGTTGAGGTCATTTACAGAGAGTCCTTTGAACTTATCTGTGCTGGAGGCCCACAGATTACATAGGTGGTTAATGTGAGATAACAGATCACTCTTTAACTTAGCTTTGTTCTCAAACAACCAGGTATTTCTTTCTTCCCACACTCCCCAAAGTACAGATGCTAGTTGTTATCTTATGAATTGCATTTTGGCTTTGAAGTAGCTTAATGACTGTAATAACAGAAACTTTAGTATTTAACTGGTCAGCTGTTCTCAGTGTAGATGGTGATACAATGTAAATGTTTTATATCTTAAACCCCTTTCTATAGATCTTTATACTTATTAACAGAATCCTTTACTTGTTCATTGGAAAGGAAAATGACTGTAATGATTGTTCATGAGCTTTCTGAAACCACATTTAAAGCTATCTAACTAATCAATAATTTCTGGGACAATCTGATTTTTGCTAGCCATGCTCACTGATGCATTCTATCTTGTGAGTTGGTTTAATATTTGTGTCTTGTTTCAATGTTCTGTGTTAAATAAGCTTGCCATATTGTCTGAATCCTTTTGTAGTCTTGGACTGTCATACCATATGCAGAATTTGAATGTAAGGTTTGCATGGCTTTGTGCAGCTTCATGAATTGTGTCATCCATGGTCAGGGTCTTTACAGGCCTTCCTGTTATCTATAGTTGTTGATTAACTCCTTGCACCTGTGTGAATCTTCATAGATTTTTTATGTCACACTTGTGATGGTATAATCCTTAGGTAATGGTAATTAAAGCATATAATAAGTAGTTATTTTTTTTTAATGAATAACAACACTGTACTTTATTAATTATAGTTGAAAAGTGAATAATAAGTGACAACTTTTGACACCCAAGTATTCTTTTCTGTTTGGATTTTTCCCTCCATTATGCAAGTTTGGTGTTTACATTTCAACCATCTAGTCTCATAAATTTGGTTTCAGTTCACATGCTTCTTTTCATAATGCCTGAACAGGTTCTGAACCACATGCTGCAGTTGTAGATAATCCAGCAATTCATATTTACAAAATGGTAGGTACTCTCAATAGGTTCAGAGTACCTATTTCTCTTTCAATGAAATGATACAGAATTCTCTTTTCTTCTCCAGCCACAATGGCCAACAAGCACCAAGGGTCTACCAAGGATACTCTACCCATTGATGCTTTTGCTTAAGCCATTATTTCAGTTTTTTATGCTTCTGTGGTTTCTGTGTGTTAAAATACCTTCTCCAGATGTTTTCCTTGTACAGGTGAGAGTTTTATTATGTAAAGTCAAGTTCTGTTTGTTTTGGTTTAAAATTTTGGTACAATGATGTGTTATCTTGTATAGCTTTAGGCTTAGTTTTTTTCACTGCATTTATTAATTTTGTTTCCTATTCTATTTTTTTTTCTTCCAGAAGCTTTGTCCTTGTTGATAACTGCCATGTATGTGATGGAAGCTTGGTGGTTAAAATTTCCAAATCTGAAATTCTTTCTTTCTATTTATTTATTTTTTCTAGGAAATCATATGCAATAACTCATAATTCAGAATTTGCCTTCATTAAATTTGAGAAGCCTCATTTATTAATACCCATCTGCATGGAATGTGCCCAATGGATTGGTTATTTCCTCTTGCATTAAATATTAGACTGAGTAGTGAAGTATTAATTTCTATAAGAACCAGCTGTATGTTGCATCATCCCTCCTATCCTATGTTGATTGAAAATGTGTGCAGTCTCTATGGACAGCAGGGGGAAATTGTTTTACACTTATTTATTTGGTCTAGATTCATTTCATTAACTAGACAGCAGTGGGTCCTCCCCAATGACCTCCCTACTTTGATGTTCTCATGGCCTGTCAAGGGTCTTTTCTTCAGAGGGAGGATACTTTGGAACTTGATTCCTTTTGCCGTTTTCTGTCCTATCTTGAAAGAAAGGAATATGAAAACCTTGGAAGGCAAAAGCACTACTCTTGAGGCTATCATAAACAAGCCAGAAGGAAATGTTGGGTGCTCGGATACTACCCCCCAAGGAGTTTGAGGGGGCAACTTCTGAACATTTTACAAGGCACTGGGGTTTTGTAATTCTTGATTCATCTTTGGTGATGCAGGGAAGCTCTTCTTCCCATGCTTTATTTATTTATTTGTTCTGTTTTCTTTCCAGCTTCTGTATTTTGCTTTGTTCTTTTGAGGGCTCCTCACCCTCTTAATAAAAGTTCACTATTTATCCAAAAATCCACCTATTCTGGTCATTCTTCTACTTTTAGATTGTTGTGTGTGTCAACTGACTTTTCTTTTCCTTCTATTTTTTTGATAACCATTATGTTTATTAATTCAAGTGTAAAATGGATAGAATACAAGTAATATACAATTCTGCCAAGCAGCCCACTTTATAGGCTAGCCACTCACCACTGCTACCCAACCCTTAAATGTTCATCTTTCTTGAGATTACATTTCTTTTATTCTCTTTTCCTTCTTTCCCAGATGGAGTAAAATATCAAATGATAATTTTCAACCAAGGATCAAAATTTTGCAACATATTGGCCAATGCATATTGTATCGGTGACCCGCCGGTATGCAAATTATGGGGAGTATTGGGGTATGATCAGTTTCAGGGGGTAGCCAGGACTTATATGAATCCCATTGAACATATTTGAAAAAAAATAAAAATAAATAATTGCACATTATTTAAAAGTCTGATACGCCCTTTTCTTGCGCTCAGATACCATATTATCAGTGGAAAAATATAGAAAAAGAATGGAGAAAGAGAAGAGAGGGAGGAAAAGAGAAGAGAACAATTGGAGTCCTAAAGTATATTAGTGGTGCCAGTTCTTATTATTATATATAGGGCGACTAAATAAAAAGAGTAAAAAGACAGTAGTGCCCCTGTGGCACATACTACGATTTCTTATTTGATTACTAGTGGATAATTTGTTAAGCTTAAGGATTCAGTTGCTGATTAGTACATTATTTGTGGACTCAAGAGTCAAGACAACTTATAATTCCTATTAATGCCTGGATTTAACCTAGCATTGAGCACTTAATCCCTAATTCTGTTTGTGACACGTTAGTATGCAAGTACTTTCTTTCATAATTTTGGATGTGTATTGTTCTTTCATTGTTTGTTATGGTTATCTTCTGACAACAAAAGAGGGATATTCTCATTTGTCTATTCTCTTTATTGTTTTTTATTTAAGAGTATAATTTAGTTCACTGGCTAATTGTTATCATAGATTAGTTTATCATTGCAAGTCAAAATTAATTAATGAGTTATTGATAAAAAAAATTAATGAGTTTCTGTATTTATTCCTGGAATATGTTCATCACCATACATTCACTTTTTTCAACAGAATCCTCTTTAGAGTTCATGCTTCTTTCTTCCTTCGCAGTTCAGTTGGACTAGAGTGATCTAATAGTGCTTGTCCCTTGTTTGCTTTTTTCAAATGCTCAGTGCAATTGATCCTGTTTTAATTTCTTAACATTTTATAGAATCCACCTTCTGTTCCAACATTGGTTGCTGTGAAATGGGCAAGCAGGCTGAGACGTTCCGCTGTTGTTGTGGATTGGCATAATTTTGGATATACTCTGTTGGGTTTGTCCCTTGGAAGGAGCAGTCGCTTTGTCACAGCATACCGATGGTGTCACTCAATTTTGGCTGCAAGAGTCCACTCTTCTTTATGAATAACTTGTTTTTTGGCTATATGCCTGATGAATGAGCTTTTCGATACCTTCTTTTCAGGATTGAAAAGAATTATGGGAAGATGGCAAATGGATCCTTGTGTGTTACAAAGGCAATGCAACTTGAGTTGGTTCATAACTGGGGAATCAAGTAAGAGGATCTACTCAAATTTCACTTTTTTCAGTCTTCAGATGAAGACATTTCATCTATCCTTTGATAGTTTATTTTATTTTTACTATTATCTTCCAAATGACTAGAGCAACTGTTCTATACGATCAACCTCCAGAGTTTTTCCATCCTGCCTCACTTGAGGAGAAACACAAGGTGAATTAGTTGTTAATGTTTTGTTACCATATTTCAAACAGAAGCTCTTAAATGTAACGTCAGGGCCTTTTGTAGCTATTCTTCAGACTGAACAAATACCTCACTGATCCTCATGGCATTCATGATTGTGTCAGCTTTGGTAATGTAGATTGTCAAACAAATCAATGGTTTTCTATTTCTATTTAGCTCATTTAAGAAAAAATGGCTTACAGGATAAGCCTCTTTCCTCTTTCAGGAACTATGGGTATTGGCAGCAGTGATTTGAATGGGACACTCTTTACAACCCAGGTTTCCACTGGCATTCTTTTGAAGCAGAATAGGCCAGCCCTTATTGTTAGCAGTACAAGCTGGTGAGTTTTTTTTTACCCCATTTAATTTGCTTAGTATAGGAGGGGCATAAATTTCATACACAAATTTTGGTCCACTGTTTGTTGGGTCCATGAGAAATTGTGCTCTGCATTCTCTTTAAGACAACATCAAATGGTACTTGTAAACTATGTTTTCATGGTCATGTTGGGTAGGTAGTGAATGCTAGCAGCTAGCCTACAACAGAGCAGCTTACATTGTAAATGTGTGAATCATTACTTAATCAAAATACAATGCTTTAACTGGGGAAAAATAAACTCTTCATGGTTATGACATGAATTTGCTCAGTATTGGCATTTCTTTGTTTTAGCTTCTTTTATTAATTTCCTGAGCTTCTCTCTATTTTCTTGTTTAACTGGTATTAATATATTTTCTTTTTTAATTTTAATCTTCAAATTAAGCTGTTAAATTCATAAAAAAAGTGCATTGTTTATGGGAAACTATTAAAAAAAGAAACTTAGTCAGGACCTACCCATCCCTTAGAAAGGGTAAAAAAGAGAAAAATGAGGACAGGGGTATAGTATGACCTGTCCATCCCTTACATATAGTCTTTATGATAAACAATATATAAGGTGATGTTTGTTTTTAAAATTGGCCGTTCTTTTCAGGACTCCAGATGAAGATTTCGGCATGCTTTTGGAAGCTGCAGTGATGTATGATAGGCGTGTTGCTGCTATCTTAAACGAGGATGACTTGGATAAGAATGAAGTGCTTTGGGAGAATATGTGCAATGGAAAACAATACTTGTACCCGAGGTTGTTATTCATCATTACTGGTAATGGTCCTGGTTCTTGTTCTTGTGCAAAGTCTGTTTGTACGGTTACATCTTTTGATAGGGATTTCAAACAAATTCAATCTTATTAGGAAAAGGTCCAGAAAGAGAGAAGTATGAAGAGAAAATAAGGAGACTAAATCTGAAACGTGTGGCCTTTTGTACCATGTGGCTTTCTGCTGAGGATTACCCATTGCTTCTTGGTAGGTAATTCTTTTTTTTTTTCTGCATTGTTTTCTAATTTTCAATTCCCTTTGTAAACTGATGCACAAATGCTTACTCATGTTTGTTATTCACAGGGTCAGCAGACTTGGGTGTTTGCCTCCATACTTCCTCTTCTGGCTTGGATCTTCCCATGAAAGTATGTCATTGTTGAATTTTCAGTGCAGCTTTTTTTTTTTTTTGTTTGAATGTTTGCCACAATAAGTTGAATGCAATAACAAAGAAAAAATTTTATAATAATTCAAGTAATATCACTTGACACAATCACACAATACTAATGATTCTTTCCCTTGTTTGTGTGTGATGTTCTCAGGTTGTGGATATGTTTGGATGTGGATTGCCTGTTTGTGCCGTTTCCTTCTCATGGTAATTTCTTGTTGCTTATTTATTTCTGTCATTGGGTTGAATTTAATGCCCAAATTGTAGTGGTACTTTGTCTCTTTATGTCGAGGTACTTATATTGATTTGGCTGCGCCTAAGCATTGAAGAACTTGTAAAAGTTGAGGAAAATGGTCTCCTTTTCTCATCATCTTCTGAGCTAGCTGATGAACTTCTGGTAAGTTTGTCTGAGTTGATTGATTTAGTGTTTCATACCTAACAAAGTTCAATATATATATCTCCACCTGTCTTATTGTCCCCATTCTTTGCCTTTTTTTGTGTCTCTGTGTCTGATTGCTCTTATTCCTTTAGGTTTTTCAGTAGCAAGGTGTCATCCCAATTCCCGATTAGATCAGGAGTGGAGGAGATCTGCTTTGCTTGTGCTGTCTTTGTTATGTGACATAACAATCTAGATCCTCATATTCAATAGATCTGTGTGTGTGTGTGTGTGTGATGTTGCCACAAACAATAGAGATGTGCATAAAATTCTGTGGAATGTAATACAGAAGTTAAAGAGAAACTAGAGGGACCTATAGCCATAATTCATTAGTAACATTCAGCTGATGGTTTGCATGCAAATTATATTGTGGAAGGAGATTTGAAGACAGTAATGAGCTGGATGGACTTTGGCACCTACAAGATCAGATTAGGGGAGTAAGTTTTTAATCTAATGCTTTGCATGCAAGTTTTATATGGGTGTCATTGGTCAGCAAATAATATTTCTGATTTTCTAGCCAGAGGAGACCATAGAAGTGGTCTGTTACAAGTTGCAGGGGCTAGAAGAGCTAGGGGCTGGCCAAGTTGAAGTAGTGAGATGATTTAAGGGTTAATAGATTAAGTGTTTAACAATGGATATGACACTAAATAGAATGGATCGGTGGAACAGAACTCATGTAGCTGACCCCATAAGGTTGGAACAAGGATTAGATGATGATCCTTTTGACTAGTATAGCATAGGTATAGCTTGTACCTCTTTTTTTTCCAATGTTTTGAACCTGTCATTGACCCACGCCGTTTGGACCGGCCTACTCACCACCCAATCACAGCTCTGGTTTGGGTCATCCTCCGGTTTGTCTTTTAAATATGGAAGAACATTGACTCGGTTAGTGTTTTCAACCCACTGTTGACTTGGATGGTCGAACCGCTTGAACTGTCACCTGGAGGGAATTCCGGTCTGGCTAATTCCCAAACCTGGAGTTTGACAAAAAAAATGTTGACTTGGTCAAAACCTATCTGACCCAGACAGTTATACCATTGACCTGCTTGACCCAATCACAAGTTCACAAGTTACAAATTACATGTATATGAAAACTTCTGGACCTTGTGCTTGGTGGATGATCCCTTTTTTTATTTTGGTATTTTTTCTAGATTATGCTTTCCAAGTCGCCTTACCCCACTATTTTTGCCAAAAAATGCCTTTTTGGCCTTAAATATCAATTTTAAGGTGTATATATATATATATATACACATATATATATACATATATACCTGCTTGACCCAGTCATAAGCTCACAAGTTACAAATTACCTGTATATGAAAACTTCTGGACCTTGTGCTTGGTGGATGATCCTTTTATTTTATTTTGCTAATTTTTCTAGATTATGCTTTCCAAGTCACCTTACCCCACTATTTTTGACAAAAAAATGCCTTTTTTGGCCTTAAATATCAATTTTAAGGTTTATATATATATATATATATATATATATAGACGTATCACATTCTGACCTGTCCGATCCAGATGGTTGAACTGCTTACTTGTGGCCTGGAGAAAAAAATGGTTCAGCCTCCAGGTCGGTTTTTAAAACACCAGGCGACCCATTGACCTAGATCATTGAACCATTGACCCCTTTAATGGATTGTTGGTTTTTGTACTATTTTATCTTTTATTTATTTATTTATTGCTGTTGTGTAGGGATGCAAGTTGGGTGGTCTGGGTCGGATTTTTGCTCAACCCAGACCCAACCCTAAGATTTGAGCCTAAAGCCAAGCCGAAGGTCTAGCCTGAACTATCCAACCCAAGCCCAGCCTGCACTAAATTTTGATGCACTCAGGTTGGGCTGGGGTTGGGCCCATTTAATGTATGTATGCATTTGTATATGGTTTATTAAAAAACTTATGCATATATGCATATATACATGCAAATGTGTATATATGCATATTTTCATGTATATAATGGGGTCGGAATTGGGTTGGGATAAGGTTGGGTTGGGCTCTGATTGGGTTTGGGCTACCTAAGGGCTAGGCCCAAGCCCAGTGCATGTAAAATTGTGGGCTGGGTCGGTCCGGGCTCGGGTTGGGCCTACCCAAGTTGCACCCCTACTGTTATGACATCATGGATTCAACTCTAAACTCATCAAATCCTTCAAAATTAGAAGAAAAACAGCCTTTTGAAATGAAAAGGACTGTTAAAAATGTTGCAGAGAATCAGTAGAAAGTAGCAGAAATCTGGTTTCAAGAAGAGAGAAGAGGAGGAAGAAGGTGGCAGTGACTAGGGTTCAGAGAGAGATTTTCTAACATAATCTCCTCTTACACCCCTAATCCCATTTCATTAAGTTAAACTTTAGTAATTTACAGAGAGGCCCCTGGTTGGGCATAATATAAAAACATAACATAAGAAAAAATAAGGGCCCAGATTAAGGCCCATTACAGCAAAGAACATAAAAAGATAAAGAAGGATAAATAGTCTATGGGTCATTCGGCCCATCTTCTCTACAAAATTGTTGACTTGGTTAACCACCAATCAACCCCAGTAGGCAAACAGCCAAATCATTTGACCCGTTTAATTTTTAATGATTCAATCCACTTGACAATTGCTAGAACTTCCGTTGGGGTTTCTAAGTGTACTTAAAACACCCTCTCCCAGATGCGGGAATAGTTTTACCTCTAACAGAATGAATTGGCCATATTGCCCTTGCATTCATTAGTTCCATTTGGTAAGAAAGGATGTGAAAGTCCAATCATAGAAGTACAAAATCTACTATTCCCTTTGTTTCTCATTAATGTGCTTCATAAATTACTATGCTAGACCTTATTGATCTAGTATGTGCATATGCTGTAGCAAGAGCGAGACAAGCATCATTTTGGGCCAAAACAAAAATCAGTGTGACCTAGCACCAAGGTTTAGTTAGTTAAGGGTTTTTAACTGTTGGGTATAACTGGCTCATGGCATATGATACCCAGATACTTGTACATGCCTAGCAAACCATTGTTGGAAATGATACTTACTGGATATGATATGACATTGTATACTGATTAGTGACAACTGCATGGACACTTCTAGATGTACCCTACAGTATTAACACTTTTAAAATATATAAATGGTATGTCCTAACAAATTGTACTATAAAAAAATCTGTACATGTTAGAAGAATAATTAAATTTGGCAAACATAGTTTTAAGAACATCTAGCTTCAAATGTGATACTTTTATTCATTAAAGATGCCAAGTTAATTAAGGGAAGTTTTAGAATTCCAAAAAGTTTATGTTAAATGAGCTTTAAGGGGATGGCAACTCATGGTGAGTTCACAGAAGGGAGATGTAAGCCAACAAGGTTTACTTAAGTCATTTCAAAAAACCTAGGGGAAGTTTTAGTATATGTCAGAAAAATCAGGGGAGGTATAAGTAGGTTATCCCTATATTTTATTTAGTAATTCTCATGAACTCTTTATCTCATATAATTTGATGACTTCATGTCTGAGATATTCTTATTTGAGCTTTCTGAAAAATAATTAATCTGAATTAGGAAGATACCAATCAATGCATAGTCAAGTGTTATTTTGAAAACAGAAGTCCTGGTAAACTATTCAATGTGCAGATGCTCTTTAAGGGGTTTCCTGATGCATGTGATGATCTGAAGTCATTGCGGAGAGGTGCATTGCAGAAAGGATCTTCTGCAAAGTGGGCTACTGAGTGGGAAGAACATGCCAAACCGCTAATATCTAAGGCAAGTTAACCTCCTTCATAGGTGTTGGAGGGCAGAGCCTGATCCTGTTTCCTTTGCTCTATTCTGAGTAGATATAGGGCAAATGTTTTTATTCTTGTTCATAACCTAATACATACCAGGTCTAGGTTCTCTATTAGACATGGGGAATATGACCATTTTATACATAGTTTGTTGCTTCAGATTGGACATTGGACATTGGATCAACGAAAAAATAAATCTTCCAATTGACAAGTTTCATCTTGGGGTTGAACACCCAAGTAGCACTGATATAGTAATCCTAGCCATCTGATCAATTAAATTAATTTGGAATGTAACATTATGAACCATTTCTCTCTTTGACTGTCCAAAAGATGTGATTAATTGGACAGCCTGGATCTTTGAGATGGTCACTGCCAACCGGATATCTAGTTTGAGGAAGAAATTCTAGACACTGACATACCTTCCATCTCTCTTTCCTTATTCCTCACTTACATATACTATATGATTGCACACCTCATACTGGTAATTATTTATTTGTTCCTTACATGGCATTTGAAATCTAATCAACAAGTTGGGCTTGAGTTGCAGGTCATCTCTAGGAATCATGATTGATAGCCAGCCACAAAATTTCAGGTAGATGTTCATAGTCTAAAGTTCTCTGTCAACCCACCTTTAATAGTTTTTGTTCTGTTATTTTATGATGGAAGATGTTAATTATAGAAGTAACCTAAAGGATATTTGACACCCCTTGTACATTGTATGAGACACAACCTGCTTGTTACGTATTGTTCTTGGAATACTGGGGGCAAAACCAAAATGAAAAATACTGTTATCCCTGCAACTTAATGATTATTCAGAATGCCTGTTAGAGCATAATTGACATTGGGAACCTGACACAATGCAAGTCTTAGCTTGACAGTCTTTAAATTTAGGAATTGCAGAGTTCTTTTTTCATTTCAAAATGCAAGTCTTAGCTTGACAGTAAATTTTAACTGATTTCCCTGGGATTTTTCTATTTTATTTTAAAATGTTGCATGGCATTTTTTTTCTTTTGCATTTGAGTATGTTAGGTCTGGAATAACCCTCTTCCCTACGGTTTCAAGGCAATCTGCAACATAGTTACGACTTCTAAGAGCAATTTAACACAGATCCTACCCCTACAGAGGAATTCAACTTCCGAAGTTATCTATGATGCTAACTTGTTGGTGATTTAGTAATGGCAGTTATTCAATTTTAATTTGTTAATCAATGGTTTTATTAGTCCCTGGCATTACCAAAGGGGTGACGGGTGACGCTTCTCACAATGACTAGTTTAAAATGTTAAGTTGGCGTCCCTCCCATTATGGGCATGGTTCAAACCTGTGGAATTGATCAAAAGAAAAAAAAAAAAGAAAAAAAAGGTTCAAACCCGTGGCAATTGCCAATCAAAAAGAAGGCTCTCTGCATTGTGCAAGTCAATGGACCTTCAAGTTCAAGAATCCCTGAACCTAATTCCACTACCCAGCTAAGTACATGCATGTTTATCGTTTAGAAGGGCTTTCAGGCCGTGGCTTTCGGCTTTGGGAAGTGAGGCCCACTTGGAAAGCCTATAAGCAGTATTGGGTAAAAAAGCTGGAGAGCTAAATTTTGTCATCATGCAGACATTTAGGTGGCTCTCCACACAAGCCTCTTAAGCTTTGTCCATATTAAAAAATCTATTTGTAAAAAATTGAAATTCATTAATTTTATTTTAGTAATTTCTATTAATTTTGTTTACTTTTAGATCGAACTGTTAATAAAACAAATTGACAATTAGTAATTATATTTATCATATTTTATTATTTTTAAATGGAATATGAATAGATTATAATTTTTTTATTTTTTCACTTTTATTAGTTAATTTTATATTTTATGTATTTTAAACTTATCACTTATTGTTATTTGTTAATAATAATTTAATTTTAATCAACTATCGTTTTATTAAATTTACTTATTTTATTATTTTTAAGTGGAATGTATATCGACTATAATTTTTGTGATGTATTTGTATTAATTAATTTTACATTTTATATTGAATAAATTTAAAATGTGACTTAATTTTTTATTAATACTTTTCATTATGTAAAATTAAATTTATGTTAATAGTATACATTTTATTAAATGGAATTCTACATTTTAAATGCTAACAAATCTATTGGGCTAATGTTAGCTCATATTTCTAATAAAAGTTATTTAAAATATTAATAGATTGTAGATATTAAATATATGTTTTATACTATGTTAGTCACAAGGGGTTTAATGTAAATGAGATTGGTTTTGTGCTTTGTAGTAAAAACTATTAACTAATAAGGATTTTTTTATTAATGAAATGGTTTTTCAGGTTGAGGTGTTGGGTGTAAATTGGACGGATTAGATCGGGTTGAGGTCAGCACTAACCCAACCCGATGACTTCTGGTTGACTTGATTTTGTCACTTATTTTTGTTAGATTACTCATTGTTTAGACTTAAGATTGGCAGATTGATTGACTTTTAATATTATCACATGTATGGTGCTTTAGGAATTAGGAATACTTGTGTTACACTGGGAAACGTATGTAACTTGATGCATTGGCCATCCATGCATACATATTTATTTAATATTTATATATAGAAAGGAAAAGGCCATTACTTGGTCTAATGGTAAAATCTCGGTCTGGTATGCATGAAAACGTGGGTTAAGTCTTAGGGTGGCCAATTTGTGCAAAAAATGTCAAAGGTTAAGGCAGTATCTAGTCTACCCCTCCCATGACCCTGATAGTTGGGATCAGCGTTGGGTAATGGTATTTTGAAGGGCAGATTAGCTGAATTTTATAGCTGTTTTAGTCGCTGTGAGACCAATCATTTTGTTCCATGCCAGTCAATTGAATAATTGTGGGCCATATGCACTTTATGGCTGGTGTGGAACAAAGTGATTGGTGTAAATCAAATTCAGCTCATCCTTCCTCTTTTATAGCGAAGGAAAGAAATGTCAGGTTTGAGTTGGGTTGGGTTGCTCAATGACCCAATCCTATCCCGACTACCCCGCCCAAGTTGCATCCCTAACTTGGGTGTGCATTGGAGGGTTAGATCCACGTCCACCTCTACCATATTCCCATTCGATAGCGTCAGACCCCTAACCGAATGTGAACTTGCAGGCACATTTGTAAGTTTTTGTTATAATAAAATAAAATTTATTGATAATTTGAAAGTACATGAAGCCCAGAAAAGTTGTATATTATATTTACATCAAACTTACTAGAGTAGTAAACAAAAAGATGAGCTAGAGTATTCTGATCTCTAGGGATATGTTTTGCTTGAAAGTCTTCAAATTTTGTGATATTGAGCATTATAGTTCTGATATGCATTTGGGTTATCCTGCTGCCAATGTTGTTTCTTTCTTGAATGGCCTGTATAACCTGTGCTGCTGCATCAGAGAAGAGAGATGTGTTTATATCGATCATTCTTGGTGTGCTTTTTCTAGTCCCTTAACAACTGCCTTGAATTCAGCATCTTGGCTTCCTTGAGATGCAATGGCGTTTCCTGATGCAAATAGTAAGTGATTATTGTGAGTGGCTATGACAAAAGCTACATTTGCACGATTTAAAAATGGATTAAAAGAACCATCAGTATAAATTTTAATATGCTTGGGATCTATGGGAACCAATTCTCGTTGCAGGTTTCTTGGTCCCTTGGAGTCTCCTATCTCAAGAAGAAAAGATGGCATTTTTTGGAATAAATCCTCTGGTGAAGATGCCCCACCTTGATGCCTTCTAAGGTTCCTTTCATCCCATATTAGTTTCAGCAAGATACTAATTTTGGATAAGAACACGACTTGATCTGGCTTTGTTAATTCCCGTTTGGTGGACAAGAGCCAATTATTGAGAAACCTTGTCAAATTCCAATGCCCGATTATAGAATGACCACACTTGTCAGAATGTGAACGATGCACTGTATCCAAATTCCAATGCCCGATTATACAAATCATTTTTTATGGGTAAACTTCATCTGAGTGATTTGGGCACATACTGTTTTTGATAGAGGGACAGCCCTTATCACGACTCAATATTTAGAAAGATAAATATCCACAAATTGACCTTTATCATTATATTAGTTTCATTGTCTTTTTTTTTTTCTTTCGTGGGATTGTCAGATTGTGCCCGGTTCATAAAAAAAATAGATATGCACAAATCGGTCCCCTTTGAGGACGAGACCGGATCTGCTCCTCACTCCTGGCTCCTCACAGGTGCCTCACACGCACATCCTACCATGCATTGGAAACATCTCCCATAGTTATTAGTTATTATTCAGGGAGATGTTCCCACTGCACGGTGGATTTTCCTGTGAGGCGCCCATTTGTGAGTAGCAGATCCCGCTTCTTCTAGGACTTGTTCTGACACAACCTTATAATTAGTTCTGGCAGTTCACACTTCACACAGGACTAGAAAAAATCCCAACAGCGCATAAGGGGATCTCGGTGACCCTCAATTAACTAAGGCCTAACAAGAACGCTCAGTTTTTAGCTTGAGCCGAATAAAGCGCAACTTGTTTGCCGATGCTAAGGCAATACTGGTGGTGGTAGCATATTGATCTGCACGACTAGAAAAATATGCATGAATAGGGTTACTCAGGCCAATTGGGCTCGCTACTTTCTCCAGCTTGACCTACCAAAATCAGTCTAGATGTTAAGCCCAGCATCAGTCCCTGTAATTTGTTCAATAGCCCACGCCCAGCGCAAATCAGACCAGACGTCCATGCTCCTATTCCTATTTCCTAGTGGCCGAAAACACTCACAAATCACAATTTCGCACACCAACCAACAACTGACCGGGAGACCATACGTTATAAATGATGATGAACTCATTACAGGTGCAGCATATTTTTTTGAGGACGTGTTTTTGTACAAAAAGAGAAAGGACATTACAATTTGATTGATGTTAGATACCGCCCTCATTTTTCTACCAAATTGGAATTGAAACAGTTATGATTACATAAAGTTATATCTATTCCTAGAATCAAATGAACCATCTCCCTTGCTGCTTGGAAGTACTTCTGTGGTCTTTCGGTGGGGCCAAAGTTATCCTTTCAGCATTGGCTACAGCAAATTTGTTGAAGTCAGGAGAAGAGAACAAATCCTCCAAAGCTTTCTTTGTGGACTCTCTGGTGAACTTGTCCCATTCGTCTTTCGAGAATTCTTTCCTTTCAGGTGTCTTGTGATAAGTAGAATAGTAGGTCTCTGAATCCAATGACCGACAAGGTGGTGTCTTGGCTAGACCTGAAAGGTTGCGTAAGAAATTGTCAAGCTTGCACCATTAACTAATTCTGATCTAAACCCTGCCTTCTACTTGATGTCAAATATAATTCAAGGAATGATACAAACCTCGGGAAGAATTGCAGGAAGACAGTCTGAAGGGTCTAGTTTCAGTTCCAAATAATTCCGACTCTCCTAACATTCGAATCTTGTGTTGATATTCATCATCTGACTCTTCAGTGGGGAAATCTTGGTTTGGGAGTTTTCTACGGTTGTGCTTTGCCAGTCTGGATGAATGCCTGAAAATACTAGTAATCAATTAATTTCATATTCATATGGTACTACAACCAATAGGATGTAGCAAGAGTGAGTAGAATGCAGGTGTAGCAGATTATGATGATAAAATCTCAGGCTGACAAGCATGAGTGTGGATTTGAATCTGAGATCGGGCACGTTGTGCAAAAAATGCCAAAGGTTAGGTATAGGACCAAGTAGTACATGGTTGAAAGAATTGGATAGAGAAGTCCCAAAGGAATATACACAGGTATTTACATCTCATCTTTCAGAAGTTAATTGGGACAGGGGACCTACTTGTGCCGGTGACGTGAAGATCTCAACTTTGTAACCCTCCTCAGTAGTAATGAGATCAGTATTCCGGCTACCAATGCCACTGCTGCCAAAAGGGGGTCCAAAGAACTCTGCTCAAAAATAACTTCCACTTTAGTAATCCCCATGTGTGATAAAATAATAAAAATTTCATAATGGGATCATGAACAAGAAGTGAACAAGGAAATTTGATTTTTTAAAAGGAAGTTGCACTATCTGATGAGACTGAAGAAGAGTAGAAAATGATGATAACATGCACCTGAAGGATCATGACAGCAGCAAAAACCCAGATACTGTATGTGACAAAACGAGCTATACTTTTATCAACTGATCCATCTTCTGTTACAACCAATTTACGGACAACCCAGAACCCCAACCAAGCTCCAGCCAAGGCAACACAAACCAGCAAGAATATTGCCAACTGTGGTTTACATTTGATTGGAAAAGAAAATTGTGAGAAACAAGAAAAAAATGCTGGGGAAGTTAAAAAAACCACAACTTCCAAATTGTAATAATGAGGTTTGCCTAGAAAGGTCTGAAAGAATATCAACATAGGACTGCTAACAGAAAACAGCACAAACAAGATTAGATGATTCTCTGCAAGTATTCAATTTCCAGAAACTTCGTCAGACAATATGTAGACATCAGCTTTACCCGGTAGATAACACCTTCACATTTACCTGCAATAACATGCTTGGGACACCATCCTAACAAAGAATTAAACAATCATATCGTCCAATATATTTTTGTAATATGCCTGTATTAAAAAAAAAACAGCCCAACATATGCTTCTTCTATGCACCAATGGATAACTTAAATCAGCTTTTGAAGACTTAAATTAGTGTTATTTAAGCAATAATAATATCAAGATACTTACATGTTTCCATCTGGAAATAGGCTCAAATTGGTGATTTCAATATTGATGTACGTAACTTGTATTGCCCAGTGTTTTCAAAACCGGACTGGACCAGACAGTCGGACCGGAAAAACCAGGAGCCAGTCACCTGTCTGGTTCCGTTTCACCCCAAAACCCTTTTTTGGCCAAAAACCGTTGATTTGGTCAGCGAATCACTGACCCAAGCGGGCAAACCGCCAACCTGGACAATGGTTTTTGGCAATTTTTTTGTCAGAGTGGGCCGTCTATTCGGACTGGACGGTCGGACCGTTCGACCCGGGAACTGGACCCCAGAATGATTCCCTGTCTGGTTCGGTTTTAAAAACCTTGGTATTGCCTCAGAAAATCATCTTCAAATGCTAAAAATTTTTTCCACCATCTTTCTACCACTCTATTACTGTTGCTATTGAGAGATGTGGTCATTTTTACTACCCTAATTAAATGCACATGCATGCACAAATTGAGTCCAAAGGCAGACCATGAATTTTTAGAGCACTAAAAAAATACTGATATACCTACCATTGCTTTTAGCATAAAAACTTGGCATCCGAACAGGAGCTATGCACACCAAGTATAACTTGATCTTGGACAGGTAAATATAAAACCTTTTGCTGCAGCTAACCAGTTGCATATCATGTAACTTTTTACTGCAGTGATATCAGCTCACCATCTCCGTTTAGGTATTTCAAAAATGAATATCATGTAACAAAACAGACTACAAACATGTCCTGTAATTGCAGTATATAATTAAGGGGATTTTCTACAACATGGTTGGTTTTGTTTTTGAAAACAAAAACAACTGCCACATCAACAAAATTATATTGTTCTTTTTTTCTGATATGGCAGTTGTTTTTGTTTTCAAAAACAAAACCAACCATGTTGTTGAACACCCCCTAAGTTATAATTAGCAAGATGCTGTCACACAGTATAGGATTGAAAACTTAATAGATACTAGCTTAACAACACATGAGAGAGAGAGAGAGAGAGAGAGAGAGAGATGAGTAGAATGGAGAGAGGAAAATAAATGGAGACGGTCTTCTGACATGAAGACAAAGTTTTGGCATTATAAAATAAACTATATATAGTGCTTATTTAGGCATGTGGGTACATTGATCTTTTTTTTTTTTTTATCAACAACAATTTCATTAATTCACCAAAGAAGTTACATAAGGAAGACAAACACACTTATCTTCCAAGTACAATCAAGAAAACAAAAGAATAGGAAGAAACACGAAATTACAACTTAGCCCAAAATATTGAATCCCTTTCTGCTCCTTGTTTAGCTAAACCATCAGCTAGAGAATTGGCTGATCTTTTGACCCAGCACATTGATCTTTTGAGTATACCTTTTCAAAACTGGTCCCATAACTAAAACTTAATAACAGCATTTTCCATGTAATTGATACATTGATTGTCTTAAATTGATCTCTATGAGTAGGGATGCAATTTGGATCAGATCCAGCCACATCTGAATCCAATCCAATTATTAAAACCTTGAACCCGAATACAATCCAATGTAAGTATCTCAAATTGGAAGTTATTAATTATAAACTTTGAAACATATTATATATATAGATAGATAGATAGATAGATGCATATACATAATTATATATAAATAGATCAGATGGGGTCAAATCCACATCAGCAATTATTAAATGGATGTTAAGTTTCAGAAATCAAATTGGATCTGATCATGTAAATGGATCATCCAAATCCAAAATAAGCGACATTTCAGATTGTGTTATCATAATTTCAGACTCAATAGAGTGACTTTGATTTTGGCATGTTATAGGCTTTTCCACTAGTTTGAATGTGATTCCAGAAAAGAACTTCTGATGGACAACATTATTCAACCATTTAACCTCCTTTTTCGTCCAACAGCTCTGTGCTCAAAGCATGAGCAAACCATGAAATGGGTACATTGAGCAATGTTCCACTAGTTACAGCATATTTGGAGCATTAATCTAGTAACGGATGCATTATAATGAAAATGTATTGTCACAGTTATTGGATTTATTGGGCCAAACGAAGCATAGATAAAGTAGGTACATGCCTGCATGGAATTGCTTCATAATAGAATTACAAAGAACTTTTGGGAATAGAGAAGAGAAAAACTTACGTACAGGATTGTACATGTCTTCATGGAATCCCATCTCTATAAGTAGTGAATGCACCAAGCCTAGCAAATAGCTTATAAAAAAAGATCCTATGCCAACCTGAACAAGATGGCATTAGAGTTGGCATAAACTTATTTCAACGGGAAATATAATGAAATGAAAGAACCCAACATTGGAAACAATCTTGAAACTCACAATAGAAGAAAATAAAAAAATTGCAAGTGAATTTTTTCGACCAGTAGGGAGCAGCTTCATGCCCTGTCAGAGATCCATATCAAGAATGGAGTTAAATAAATGAAATAATCAACCAAAATTGAAAAGAATGCATGAAGTCCCATCTCTTATCGGAGATCCATGTAAATGATGGAATTGTAATAGATGACATGGTCCAACCTACCCAAATTGGAAAGGAGATTTCTGCATGGCTGACAGTGCTAAATAACGTACTGCAGTCAGTCTGATGCTTTAGAACTCAGATCAAGGGACCAGTTTCAACCCATCCGTAGTCAACCAAGCCAACTAGCGATGCAGTTGACATGATGATGATTAAAAATATCTAAATATTTCTATTTATATGGTTCATTGTTATCAACTCATCATCATGATATCATCTAAGCTTTGTCCCAACTCCTAACTTTATGGGGTCCGCTACATGAATTCCATTCCACCATTCCATCAGTGTCATATCCATTGTTAAATTATAAACTCTGAAAGCATTTCTCACTACCACTTCAATCCATGTCCCTTTTGGTCTGCCCCAGCTCTTCTACCCCAATATATATCCCCCAATGCATGAAAATCTTCTATATTGTTCTCAAAATATTTACTTTGTTAATCATATCAGTGTAAGGTTTTCAATATATATGAACATATATGTCATCTAAATAATTTGTTTAACATGATTTTTTTTATCTTCAAATCTATTATTTTTCAAATTTTCCACGTAGAAGACTCTTTCCTTCTTATTTTCATTATGAAATATATTCATAGGATTCCTCTCAAAATATATTCATAATATTTAAAGTTAAGATACCGATAACAAACACTATAGACTAAAATTTTTAAACTCTTAGAGGAAGTGGACACCTTGAAATGGTGTATCACTTCAAAAACATCATTTTTATCACTTTATAATGATATATTATTTAAAAGAATATGTCCCTTCATAATTTTATATATTAACAGATATTTTCATAGATTGATATTTTCTTCAAATTTATAGATTTAATGTTCACAACATTGTAAAATTTATACAAAATTTCCAACATTTCTGACTTATTTGTTATTTTTAGTTCAACTACATTTCCACCAAGACCAACAGTTTTATAGACTGGACATTATCTGACATTAAAAATAAAGATATTATACCCTTCAGTAATTAATTGTTTCTATGCTTATTGGTCGATGTTTTGTTTCCCCAGTTTATTCATCTCCCTAATTTCTAGAAGATGAAATAAGCAAAAAGATATGCTTCTTGAAGATTTTGTTTCTTTTCAAGAGAAAAGGTTCTTCATGTTATTTTCCTCCCATTAACTTACTACTTAGGAGTCTTTTTTTTTCTATTTTTTGAGAAGTAACAAGTTTTGATTTTGTGCTCTCATCAAATATTGATATTCTTTGCATCATGATTCCTTTAGCTAGGTTCTACATCCAACAATTCTTCTTTTGGCATTTTCCTTGTAATTATGCAGCGTATTAGTCACATAAATGCTATCTAGACCTCTGAATAAGTTCAGATCACCAGCTTTTTCCAGTTGGAGCAATCCTGTCTCAAGTCAAACCTGAATCAACTTGGATAGTTGAACTGGTGAACCAGTGACCTGGTGAGTTTCCTGGGTCCTGATCTCTTGACAAATTTGAAGGGCTGAACAATCAAATTACCAGTTAAACTGTTACCAGTTGCCTAGTGAACTTTCCAATTTTTTGTCCAATCCAGATTTGACAACACCAATCTTGAAGTCAGACCAACTCAGTTAGGAACTTGGTTCCCTTTTCAACTTGGCAGGTCATACTCATACCAGGTTGCACTCATGCACTGGCTGTGAAATTGATGCAAATCAGAAAGTTGATCATATACAGAATAACAATAAAAAGATTCAAAATATTTAATCTCAATTTTTAGACAAATTCCATGTCACAGAACATCAAGTTTGCAACCATAAACTGAACACTTCTTGGTGATTTATTTTAGGGAGAATGACTGATCAGTCCAGATCAGAATTTTGTAGCCCCACCGTACAGGGGGGGGATGAATCCTGACCATGAATTGATGCCAAATTCACGGGTAGGATGCGGTTTATAGGGGGGGGGGGCTGTCATTCAGAATTCTGCATTGGGTTGCAGAGTACTTAACCCTTTATTTTATGCAATGTCAAACTCAGAGTTATTCAAGTCAAAAAAATGGAAGCCCAGTGCACAAGGCTCCCACCAATGTGGATTCTGGGGAGGGACAGATGTACACAACCTTACCCCTGCACATACAGAGAGGCTGTTTCCAAGATTCGAACCCTGCTCACCCAGGCCGCAATGGAGCAACCCAACCTGGTCACCCAAGTCTACAAATGGAAAAAAGGATAAACAGAACAGTAACATACCTGAAAAAGGACCATCAGTACCACAAGGATAATGCCAACGGTCATCGCACTGCTATAATAGAAAACTAAGGAGTTGCCAAACTCAGGTGCCAATGTTATCAGGATTACTCCAATGACTAAAAAAAAGATGCGATATGACAAAAACTCTGCCAATAGATTAATTAATAATATTAGAAGCTAAGATCATAAACAAAACTCAGATTCTTGGCCAAAGGAATATACCTTCTTCAGTGGATACCTCAAAGATTTCAGAGGTCAGACCAGGCATCCGTATGTCTAGAAGCTTGCTGTCATAAGGAGACATAGATCGAACCCATGAACCCTTAACAAGTTTCTCCCAGTTGCCTTGAGGGCACATCCCTATCCCAAGAGACATATTCCTGTGAAGAAACACAAAATTGCAACTGGTTTCAATGTTCTGCAACTAACTCCAGGGAAAAATGAAATTGCACTACATCTTGAATTTTCCCACAAGATACTAGTTACTACTATATAGTTCAGTCAGCTTCATATGCCATTTCTCTAAGCAATAAGTGGGGATTGGGGAACTATATTTAACTATGAGGAAAAACTAGACGTTTCAAATGAAACATCAAAGTTCTTGAAAATCTGTCCTAGTGAGACAAGTATGGAGAAGTAATAAACAGATAGCTTGAATAATGGAAATTCCCAAAGTCTAACAGCCTGCAGTTTTGAGGTGCGACCGTGCAAAATAGGATAGGGCTCACCTGTGGAAACAAACCTCAACATTTTGAAGACGAATCCCTGATCCTGTCTGAATAACTTTCACAATTACTTTCAATGAATGGGCATACTTCCTAAGGCTTTTAAGCCTCGAAAGGCCACGGATGTGAACCCTATTACAAACCATTGACATGCTTGGTTTGGAACCTGGTGAATCTTTTACAGGAAAGCCAGATGATAGCTGCAACGTGGTTGGGTGAGCAACAACTGCAGAGCCAAAATAGTTATATTGACAAAAGTCAAATAAGCTCACAACTCAACCAGATGGCTTTTCCAGATGGCCACAAATTTGATGAAAATGAAAAGTGCCATGATCAGAAATTCATTTCCACCTAGTTAGCAGAACTTTCTAACAGATCGTGCAGTCACCTTCTTAGACAACCTAACTATATTTCTACTAATTTACTGATAAAGATGCAGTTCTGTTTATCTAGATAGCAATTATACTTATAAAACTTCTTTGAGTATACATCTACCAAATAAAGTATCTCCAATTATTATAATATGATTATACAAATTTCAAGTTGACAGAATTTCAGTATGCACTTACTTTGTAGTATGGATTATAGTAATATAAGATGATCCCAGAGGTGGAATTGAAAAGGGGTTTGGACCTGGTTTAAAGATGATATTTGTAAAAAGAAATAATAATTGTTTTTTAGAGGCAATTCTTTCACTTACTTTTATCTTCATCTCCAACCAGCTACCTTGAATTCTCTATAACTGCAGCCCTTGTCTACCAAAAAAACCAATGCAAAGAAATGGAAGCAGCTCTCACTCCCTTATAAATACTAAATTTTAGCTATAAATGTTGAATGCACGAGCTGTTCCTATTCCTTTGTGTGACATTGTTTTCTGGCTGAGCATTTAAGTGTTCATTGTATCGTCACTTCTCTCCTTCCTACATCCCTGTGTCACACTCCAAATGCTGCAGCAAGATACCAGTTTCAAGATATGGTATTTGTCAAAATTAGACAAAAATTGTCTTAACTCTGTTGCTCATCAATACATACATATGTGTGTGTGTATCATATTATCTTCATAAGTGAAGCATGAGTTGCAAGCCATACCTCTCATAATTTATTCTAGTTTGGATTAAAATGCATGGATGACCTTACATTCTCCAATCATGTAGAAGACTCTTTTTTCCTTTTAAGAAGAAAACAAACTAAATTTTCCACGGCTTCCTTGGTTGCAATTGTCATGTTGGCGCCTTGAATTCCAGTTGCAATCTCACTCCATGACCCAACCCGAACAAGGTTGAGAAAAACCCAAAGGCAAATTTTCATAGTGGTCTGTGGTGGAAGCAGAGGGTTTGGGCCACTCCTTGGGAATGCAGTATGGACTCTTATTGCTAAGGAAATCATAGTTGAGGTAGTTGCAATTGGATATTACAATTGCAAGCAAGTGTTCATCGCAAGTATCCAAAACTGTAGGTCACTTGAACATCGCATCACACATTAGGTGGAATCACATGTCACTTGGTCATGTTAGGCAGTAAACTAGTATTGCAGATCGCATTGAATTGATCTCACAGACTGATCTCGCAAGTCTAGACTCATAGCGAGATCTTGCAAGACTCGCGATTCGATTCTTAGCAGTTTTGAGGGGCCAACCCAGTTTAGGGTTTTCTCGCTATAAATAGCCTTGTATCTTGGAGTCCAAGAAAGAGAACAAGTGAGTGTGTGAGAAACAAGGGAGTGTGAACTTTGGGTGTATTGGGAGCTAGGGTTTTGGTGAGAGGCTGTGAACACTAACTGTAAATCTCCATTGCTGATAGTATATTTTTTTCTCCTTTAATGTCAGTGAACATAGGCCATAATCTGAACCACTTAAATCTCTGTGTGCTCTGTTTTGCATTGTCTTTCCATTTTCTCCACTTGCCAAACGATTATATTGTTCTTGGGTTTGTTAGGAACTTCAACAACAACAATAAAATTCTATTCCAGTAAGACATTCCCCACTTTCTGATCTCACTTTTGAATCATTTCTCAGAAACAAACCTCTAAATTCAGTAATAGAAACATCCATGTTTCCATTTTTGAAAATGGCATATTCATTGGTAGCCTGACCCCTGTGACCTACTAATGACAAAACCACGAATTTCAAGATATCTCTCCTTAGACTTCTGTAAATCCGCAGTTCTTATAGCTACATACAAGTCCTTAGTCTATTTGGGCTTCCAGAGTATAGATGTGAATTCTCTATTATAAGGATTAAATTTCACAACTCTAACAACACCCTCAGGTACAATGCTAAACTAACTAAATTGAAATCAGTTGTTATATCTAAGCCTGGAACCACCATATGAACTTGAAAGATTTCCAGAACACACGGTCTCAAATGCATTTGGAAAATTGTCATCAAAAGAGAATTCGCTAGATGAAAAGCTAATCTCCATGGTGCGCAAGCATGGCATTTTATCACCTTGTTTTCCCTGAACTCCATTAGTATCCCCTTCCTAGCCGTCAAACCCTAGACCATTCTAGCGGGGCCCAATCTCTAATCAGAAACTTAAAGATTGATGAAGAACTCCGTCCTCTTGGAAATTCGATATGAGGATTTAATTGATCAGCGTACTAGCCAGCAATCATGAGGCTGAATGGTCAGCTACCCATCGAAAAAGGGGAACCGGGAAAGAACGCAAATTTGGAGGATTCAGCTCAATTCAACTTTTTCTCTTAAATTGAGTTCAACATGTGACAAAAGGAAAAAGTGAGAACAAAGAGAGCATCTTACCAATAGATAGGTCATCATCTGCAGCGACGACAGCGGACGAATTCGAAGCAAAAAGAAAGAAAAACAACAAAAAACGAACGACTAATCCCACGCAGAATGCAGTTTGCGTTATTCGTCTCATAGTGACTTCGCGAGTTGGCTGGTTAGGAAATCAAAAAATATGAGCGCGCGACGGCAATTTTGCTGCCTCACTTCATGAAGGTAATTCAAACTTCTATGAAGATCTGTTCTCAACAGTCAATACGAGATTGGAGGGCAAGAATGGAAATTCCCAACTTTCCCACTGCGCGAAGATTTGACCAACGGATTCGAAAAGACATCTGCGCCCCGTAGCACATCAAACCGTGCATTGGAAATATCTCCCACTGACAAGTATAAATAATATTTCTGGCGTTGGTGCATATAGGGCGCCCAAATGTGAATTCGACGGATTTTATCCTCACAAAACCGTATTCACTGGCCTCACAGCCTTTCAGCCGTAGATCGGAAATATCGGAATTCGGCTTCGATCAATGCAACACCCGTCCGAATAATTTTTACAGTACGCATTGAAAATATCAAATATCTCCGTATTTATTGTGTTTTATTTCATGAGATATTATCAAGGTTGCAAAACGCTATTTGATTGAATGGTGTGAGCACGGCTTGCACTGAACCGAAGCCGAATTCGGAATATCTCAACGTCAATTACAAGTAAGGAGGACGGTTCTCTGATGAAGCTCGGAGAGCGAATCTGCTCCTCACACAAGGCGACTCACACCATGACGGACTTTGCTTTTCACAAATGGGTGTTTTATCGACTTTATACGCACATTCTATCATGTATTTGACAACATCTCCCATACTTTTTAATTATTATTCATGGGAGATATTTCTAATGCACGATAGATGTGCATGTAAAGCGTCCAAGTGTAAGGAGCAGATCCGGTCCCCGATATGAACCGGTAGAGACGTAGAGACGCGTCTGGATCGTATGAACCCATGTATACGGAAGAGTGACGTATCCACTCGTGTGATGTGATTGATTTCGTAGCTTGTTGTATACAGTCGAGTGAGCAGCAGATTCGGAGTAGTAAGAAAGATCAAAGAACTAAGAAGCCAGCTCAATCCGACCTAAAAAGATCGAGTTGGCCCAGCCCAAGTTCCCAACCATAAAGAAAAGGAACTTCCAGTCTTTAAGGAAAACGTAGATTCAACAAAGGATCCATCAGTCGAGATGGTTAAACCGTTGTTCCATCATGACCTGTTAAATAATTGGGATCTACTCCTCAGTCCTCACAGAGCGTTTTACTCCTCACGTGAGATATTCTCAATGTGCGACCAGCACACGCTGTGAGGTCGGTGTAAGAGGGGCAGATCCGGACTCCCTGTTCAATGGATTGTCGGCCTTTGTATTTTGAAAACTTTTTATAACGATGATAACATCACCCGTTAACCCATTAACCCAGGCAGTTGGCCCATTTTCTTTCCCCCGGAAAAAGAAAAAGGCGGGATTTTAATACACAGGTTTAACGAGTTGTTTTTGTATGTTGTTATTTATGGGAAAATGTTTTCAATCCACGGTGGGATGGACTGTGCCTTCAGGTCAGTGTGAAGAGAAAATGTACAACCCCAATTCTATTTTTGCAATCTCAAGGTCTTCATAGAGATATGTAGTTGGTTCGGTAGTTGCTTTTAGGGGATCTCCTAAAAGCAAAAAACCTACAAACACTCTCTAAGCATGGACTTCTAGCTGCACGGCAGGATATATTCAATATTTTCAGAATTTTTGCTTTTAAGAGATCCTGACTCATTGTGGAGATCCCATATATGAATTTGAGTCTGCCAACTCAGGAGACTCCTTGATTTCCTAGGAATTTTTTTATTGGTAGATAATTTCCTATGATTCAGCTTCATTTTGAAGCATTAAGAAATGAGAAGAATATTTGATACTAGCACCAAAATAATGTTTGGTATTAGTTTTTACAAAGTAGCAGCTTCAAATTAGAACAGTCTTTGTTAGGCCCATGATTTTAGCATAGCATGAAGCAATAGCTCCATGGTGATGGCTCCAAAAGACATTCAGTAAAGGGTTGATTTTATAGAAAAATGAGAGAGAAACAGAGACAAGGAAATCAAGAAGTCTCCATTTAATGAAGTTTTTAATTAGCTTCCAACAATGCAGTCCTATGTTCCACAGGGTTCAGGTTTCTATTTACATAACAAATGAAATTACGACTTACATAAAATCTGTCTCCACCCTGGGCGGAGCTATAGGTAGGGGCCAAAATCTAAGAGAAATTTAAATGGGTATTATGGGGATTTTAAAGGCATAATGGTGCAACGGTGTTGGATTGCTCCATTGTGACTTGGGTGATCAGAGTTTAAATCTTGGAGCACAACCTCTCTGCATGTGCAAGGGTAACCAACATGTAAATTTGCTTGTCATTTGCATGGTTGATTTTTATTTCAACCAACCGATCAAGTATTGTTGATCAGACCACCTAAAACAAAAACTTAGCTCAAATTGAATGATAGATTGTGATTGATAGTTGTTGAATGTTTTAAGTCCCATTTTGTGGGTGTAAGCCTACATTTCCACTGTACAGTAGATGCATGATGAGTCATTGTTCATGCTCATGCTATTCCTCACTTCCCCTGTTTTGAATAAACAGCAGGATAGTGGTAGGTTGGTAGCAAAATTGAAATCAGATTCGCTCTGCACCTCCCACCAACCTCACATCACATCTCCCCATAAATAATAAAATCAAGTACAGAAGATGTTCTAAATGCATGGTTGAACTTGAGAACACTGTGAGATGGATCTGTGTGGAACAAGTCCAGATTTGGCAAAATCTACCAATAAGTATAATAATACTGATTTTAATGATAAATTTTGACTAATTCTCTATGAATCATTTTTCTCATGTGGAAACTTTTCAATTTGTAGAATCTCAGTTGTATTTTATTTGGCCCTAATATAGCCATAGCTTTTTTTTGGTCCATTTAAATGAAAGCAAATCCATGCTACCAAAAATTGCATTTTTTTTCATTAGAAAAAACAGGCATTTGGTATGAATCATGGAATGGTCAGACTTCAGTGAATTTTAAGCATAAGAGGTATTGGCAAATACCTTGGGTAATACCATCAATCTTAGGGGCATTATTTTTTTGGATTTTGAGAGGGGGAAGTTAGTCAATGGGATTCTCAATGATCGACCAAGAAACTCATGTTCTTTTTTTTTGGATTTATATAGAGATTTGGAAAAGTTTATTTTCTTGGGTACATCTTGATGAAGGATGATTTGACCCAACCTATGAAACGGTGACACGTAGACGCTGACTTAGCACCAGCGACAGCCCAGCGTTGAAGCCCGGTGCGACCAAGTGATGGGCCCACGAAGCAATCCGCTATGTTACAGCTCACGAGGGGAGGAGTCCGCCACGATGCGAACTCCGGGTTCCCCGTGCTATCTTTGAAGAGATACTCCGAGGCAACTGTAGCTCGCGAGCTAAAGTTATTAGCTCGCCCAAGCTCCCTAGCAGACAAATCATTCCGATGACCAATTCCATTAAGGGTAATCCTGGAGTGTTTCAAGCTCGCCACAAAATAGCTTGCGAACGAGCCGCACTAGTGCTCTTTAGGAAGCTTCCGACTGATAGACCGTACCGGTTAGACTGCGCCATATCCTCTACTAACGGCGCAGTCCCAGTCCTTTCGACAGTCTGCGTCCACGTCTCTCAGCAGGCAAAGGCGTGCCTGCCACTTTGGAAACATGTCACTCACCCGGGCGAGGCGTACGCCACAATGGCCACCTGCGCAGCCCTGGCAGGTAACGGTTGTGGCAGGAGCCCAGTGGCGGTTATGCCCAACCTAATGTGAGTGTCCCTATAAAAGCCCTCAGGGCATAAGAGAAACGACTTCTTGAATCTCTGACCTCTTGAATATAGTGGTAACGTGCTATCTACACTCTTAGCCTTTCACCTTTTCCTTGCTTCTACCGAGTACTGACTTAAGCATTGGAGTGTCCCCCCGGGCAGCCCCCCAAGGGATTCTTCTTATTCTTCCCTATCTCAGGTGTCTTCCAGGAGCCACACGAGTGCTAGCTAGGAGTGACCGGATTGCGCTACATCATTTGGCGCCGTCTGTGGGAAACGCTTCAAAAGGCCTTTCTCTCTAAACTTTCTTAGTTCTTTTATTCCTTGAAAAAATCCAACACTCATGACTTCCTCTAGCAACGTCGGACGAAGCACGGAAATGGATAACTCCAGGGAACAACCCCAGCTTCCTACTGTTTGTATCGGACAGTTCACCATCCCCCTCTTGATGGACGGAATCCCCAGCTTAAATGTACCTCTTACAGTGGCACCTGTCGTCGCCCCGCTCCCTGCTACAGTCGGAGCGACGTTCACCGAACCTTCGGTTGTGCCCCCAGCGGCCAGTCCAAACCAACTGGAGGACTTGATGCAGTGCATGCGGGCCATGTAGGCCCAAATGCAACAGTTCCAGCAATTTCAGCTCTATCAACAACACATACTGCACCGGGTCTCCCAGTATCAGTATCAACAGCAGTTCCCCTAGTTGCCTCAACCCCACCTTCAGTTGCAGTTCCTGCCTCGGCACCCAGCCTCACAGCAAGCTAAGTCTCGTCGCCGGGACAAGCGCCCCGCCGGCCAAGGAGAGGCCCCCCAAAACCTCCCAAAAAACCAGGC